TTGGGGGAGGTGTGGATGTCTAGAGGGCAGGGAAGGTGCTAGGGCATGGAGAATAGAAAGTCTGGCATGACGAAGGCTTCGCTTCAAGTCGGATTTGGACGCGTACCGGGACATTAAGGCTTCGCATCTCATCATCGGCCATAGTTCCGTACGGCAATTCCATGTGAATGTCCCACGGAGGATCAGCCATGATGACTCCGAACTGCCAACGCACATCATCATTTTCAAACAAACAAGGTCGATCGCAAAGTGAATGCTAGATGCAAAAGGGACAAGAGAAGCACGCACGCACACACACACACAAAAAAAAAGAACAAGACAAGCGAAACGTGAAGGTGTAAAAATAAAAATAAAAATAGAAAGCAGGTGTCAGATGGTACCAGCTAGGCAAAAGCATGGTAGACAACAGTCCATCCGCCGAGAACCATTCGCAACGCAAAGTAAGGGCGGGCTACCGTCTTCACCCGAATAGAACCGCCGGTCATTATAGCTGTATTTGGCCCAACTTTCAGCCCAGATACGGCGATGATTACTGGGCGTTCTATTCGGGTGAAGACGGTAGTGCCTTCTCATTCACACAATCCACGCTAATCATGAACATATACATGATGTCCGTCCTAGTGCAGTCCAGTGAAGTCATGGGGAGAGTGTGCTGTGTGAGCGAAAAAAAAGGGCAGTATGTTCAGTGCGTACAGCAACGAGCAGGGAAAAGGACAGGAAGACGAAAGCAAAACAGGAAAAGGAGGGCAGGCAATGAATCTGTGTGATAATTTTCATGGGGCTAATTGCAGACCTATGTGATAATTTTCCTAAGGCCCCTTTCCAAACCATCATTCCAAAAATGCCCCTGAGGTCTGCCCTTCGTGAACCCCATGAGTTCCTTACATTTATTTATGTATTTATTGCATTCCTTACATTTATTTATGTATTTATTGCAGACTTGCAGCGCACCAGTGCGGCAGGCGGTGCAGTACAGTGTGTGTGGATGAGCGACGTGCACATACCGTGCGCAGAGGTGTCACGTGCTGGGCAGCGCAATACTGCCCCTTGCGCAGGTGCAATGCCTTTCTTTTGTTTTCCCCCTTTTTTTTGTGTGTGTAGGTAAGAGAGAAAGAGAGAGACTGCACCAGACCTGAAAGATAGCTTGTATACATTCAAGACCACAACAGAAGTTTCCGAAAAGCTCCATATTGGAGAACACAGCGCCCTCATCATGACTGTACCGGATGTCAAAGCCAGCTTGTATACATTCAGAGAGAGAGGGAGAGGTGTAACAGCCTTCACAAATCGCGGAGCTTACTTCGCTATTTGTGAAAAAGCTACATAATGATTCCATATTATTAATAGTTAGCAAAAAAAAAAAAAAAAAAAAAAAAACGTTTGTCACAAAT